GCGAGCCGTGGTGACGAGGGAGTCGGAAGGCAGTTGCCAAAGCATTTCGATGCAGCGTCACATACTTCGTGGGCCTCATCGCATGCATCATGGACATCCGCAGAATCGTGGGCTTCAGTCAGCTCTACAAACTCCATCAGCAAACGCAACAAGCAGGCACGATACCACGTGCCAATCGCAAAAAGACCATCAGAGCGACTGCTGCTCAATGCTCGTCGCAATGTGCTCGAGGGAAAGGTGTACAAGACAAATTCTCATGCACTGTCATCGACGCCGCTGAGTGAACGCTTACAGGGATCGAAGCGGCAATCTCGGCATCGCCCGGCAAGTCCCCGCGAAGCACAGGTACAGCTTAAAGCGGTCAAAGAAAACGCTACGGCTGGCTTGTTAGAGAGGCTCCCAAATGAGAGCCCAGGATCTCAGAAGAATCACGATATGAACGTACTGCGACCGCGAAAAACAATATACAACAAAGACGGAACCATGCGTCGGTTTGTGAGCGAGATGATCAACTCAAAGATTCAATCCATTGCAACACATAGAATAGACTGGAGGTCGAGAAAGCCATTAGTGAACCCACGAGATGTGTTCTCGGATGCGCGCGCTGCCGCGAGAGACCGTGAGGTTGCATCTGCAGTTGCGCAGGCCGCGATGAAGGCATTAGAGCAGCTTAAGCGCCACGAGACAAATGTTCGGCGGTCGCGACTGAGGTCTTCAACGGTCGGTCAGCACCTCGCTATGCAAGCACAGATGGCACAGCTTCTAGCAATGAGACGGCAACATCATGAGCGTGACCAAAAAAGACAGTGCGCACAGACCATCGCGCGATGGTGCAACTGTGAACGAAACGACGAACGTCTTGTCGCTGAGGGCGCAGTCGATGCGGCCGCGCGACTCGCACTTGAAGACGACGACAACACACGTAAATTTTCTGCCATCTCACTGCGCACATTGGCAGCGCGGAGCCCATTTAGGGACGCATTATTACAGCCGCATGTTCTCAGCACTTTCCGTGAATTACTCAGCGAAGACGCCGATGAAGAAGACGTCTCGACGGCGGCGAGTGGCGTACCGGGGGCAATAGAACCGTTCATGAATCATGGATCACAACGTGGAGGCCTCGCGGCGGCAGCTGCGGGGGGGATTCTCAAGTCGCGCATTATGCGCAAACACACGAGTATAGTCCATGCCGTTCCAAGGGATGCAGCGCTTGCACTCATCCAGCTCACTGCAGTGGAGCATGATACCACATGTGCAGCTGATGGAGCACGCTGGGAAGGGCGGCTAGTTGAGAAGGGTATTCATCTTCTTCTTCTCAATGCTGCTGAGCGACACTCGGGAATGGCTGAAGGTGTTGCACGCGCGCTTTTCAATTTGACCTGCACTGGGGATATCTATCCACAGATGGAGCGGGTGACGCGTGCACTCGTGCAGATGCCCAGCATTCAGGCTGATGCCAAGGTACGATCTGTTGTCGCTCGTGCATTGCGTAACATTGCGACGCACCCGGCCCTGGTCCTGCGGATGATCGAGGAGGGTGTCGTGCAGCGTGTCGGACAGCTTGCTGCTGCAGCCCTCATGGAACTTCAAGCCACTGCGTTTCGTCATGGTGTGGAACTTTCAGATCTTCCCGATCAGACTGACGAGGACGACGTTGTCCGTGAATGTTGTATCAGCATTTTGCTCCGCTTTGCTCACAATCCTGTTGTGCGTATTGACATGATTCACGCCGGTGCTCCACGTGCTATCTTTGCACTACTTCGCAGGCCTTCATCAACACGAAGTTCCGCAGCACGTGCTGCTGGTCGTGCTGCAACGACGCTTGCACTCCTATCGGAGGCCCCTGGTGCGCATGACATACTCGAGCGAGATCGCTCGGCGCGCACTCTGGCTCTTGCCGTGCAATCGACCATGGCAAATGGTCCCACCGGTAAAGTTCCTGCCTCAATGCGGGCAGCCATGCAAGGTACGCGGGCTGCGAGCATGTGGGCTTCTGCCGCTGCCGGGCGCGCGAGCCTTGCGCGGACATACACCAAGAAAGAGCAGCGTGAGCATTCTCGCGATGTGAACGGTAGTGACGGTTCCTGCGCTGCGCATGATTCTGCGTGCCTGTCTTGGCGACGGTGCAAACCCAGCGACGTGCCGCTCCTTCGTGCGTAGTGTGGACGAGGAGCGTCACGACAAGGCACTTCGGTTCGCTCTTCTTACGCTTGCACTTCTTTTGAGCGATACGACACATGGCGTTGCACTCCTAGCATCATCAGTGCGTTCTGGTGCACTCACTACGGTTGTGCAAATGTGTTGCCATCACGAGGTTAATCTACCGATCGGATTGTGGCGATTCGATGAAGATCTTGCTTCACAGCCATCGAGCCGAGAAGATGATGATGGTCGTGGTCGCCGGAGAGGTTCTCTCCGCCCGGACGATGCCTTTGTACCACGGAGACAGTCTGGGGCCCTGGGAACCACCTCTGAAACACCAACCATCTGCAGCAGAAGCAAGCGACACCTACAATCACGCTCAAGTCCGGAACCCCTTGATCTTACGCCGAGTGGAGGTAGTATGGGAAGCGGTCTATCTTCAGAGATGCCACTGAACAAGGCCCTGATTGGCGCTTGTGCGCTAGTGTTCGAGCGAGTGACAGCTTTTCAGCTTGTTCGTGAAGACGATGCGGTATCTCGCGCTCTCGTTCCCGGGATTGTGCGACTTGCCCAGAGAGTCAAGGAGCTCATTGCTGAGGGCTGGGTCACGGTAGGAAGCAGTGCACCAAATATGGATTCACCACCGTGGTGTCTAGCTTGCTGTGTCGCAGCACTAGGACGTCTCGCTGTAGATGAGAACAAAGCACTAAATGCACGCATATCAACAGCGACAGGAACTATGGCTGTCCTTGTGGATACACTTCGATTGCACGTGTCATGCGTGAATCCAATTCTAGCTAGCGACGTGCACTATGTGAACTTAGGCATGCGCACACTTGTAGCCCTCAGAAAAGTTGCTCTAGAGCCGGGTGCGATTTTGGAGGTCGCACGAACCGTCATACCTGCAGCACTCCTATGGTATGAAACGGTCGATGTTGGTGCTCGAGCAGCGGCTGCCAGCCTATTCACCGTGTTCTCCTATGACGAACTCTGTCGCAGCTCCCTCCTCGAACATGGCATACTCCAAGTGTTGCTGCAAGTGACTCTGCGATCTAATCGCAAATCTGAAGAACGAATTGTTGTCGCATTTAATAAGTCATCGTCATGTCGCGATGGCAAAAGCGAGCTCAATCGTGAGTTCTACGTCAAAGGAAATGTAGCAAGGGAGGCGTACACCGGAGATGGTTTGCCAAAACCGCCGTGTGCTCGAGAGTTTGTTGCTCAAAGTCGGCTCTGCTGTGCAATCACACTGGCAAATCTTAGCCTAGAGCCTCGCGCGCGGCGTGCGATGGTCTTCTCGAAGGCAGCACAGGCTCTGGGCCTACTCTCAGATACATCGTATGGCGAAGATAACCAGCTCGCATGCGCGCATGCGCTTTGTAACATATGTTCGACTGTTGCAGAAGACGGTGATGATGATCTAGTCCAGGCACTCCAGGATCAACGAGTTGTAGCAGCCGTCTCAATGATCGGCGCTGTACGCGCGTCTCACGACACTACCCGGCGCTCCTGTGCCGCAGCATTAGCGAACCTGCTCGCACCTCGAGGGCAAGCGAGAGTCATGGCGTCGGCTTTGGCCGACATGAATGCGCAGGGTCTTATGCCAACACTCGTTCGCATGTGTCGCGTTGATGATGTTCAAACACGTGCTTATGCAGCATGCGCACTCGCACGCATCTCTGCAACGGCGGCAGGCCGCACCTTGCTCACCGGTCGACCTGTGTGCTTGCGTGTGCTTTTCGCTCGGACAAACAAACAGTTTGGTTGGGAATCGACGAATGCGTCTACAACAGTGGGTGTCTCTGGCTCTGCTGCTCAAGGCCGGCCTACTTTGCAGCGGCTTCGCGTGCCAGAGCGCAGCAAGTCATGGCATAATCACAATGATGGACATTGCGGCGCACTAGATATGCTTCGGCACTGTGTGGCTCGTATTGCCTGTAGACTCATACTTGACACTGCCGATTGCTGTGCAGTTGCAGTCGATGTCGGAGCACTTGCTTTGCTCGTGGGTATCGTATACACTCAACCCTCTGACGTTCAGCTCAATGGTGAGACCAGGTCGTGCATCACCGCGATTGAGTGTTGTGCACGACACGCCACCTACCGCGCTAAGCTTGCCGCAGATCCACGCACCCTGGACGCCCTTGCCGTATTTACGCTAGAGAGAAACCAGCCTATGGTTTCACTCAGTGCGCAAGTATCCCTAGGCTTGCTCGCTTGGGATGTCGACACTCGTGTAGCTCTTTCACGATCATCATCTGTTGTTTGCAGCCTCGTCTCAGTGGCCGTCGAACATGCCCGCGGGCACTACATTCCACTTGAAGCTGTGGCCATTGCGCGGGCACTCTTCTGTCTTGTTCTGGTACCCACTCATTCATGCAACTGGTTACAGGTCGTCAAGCTCGGTGTTCTAACAGCACTGATCTCCCTCGAGACACGACGTGGTCAAGAGACTCTACACTTCGAGGACATCGATGACGATGACGACAGTTCGATGTGCGCAAACTTCGAGTTGAGCACCGTTGTGATGTGCGCACTTCGTGTGATCGCCGAACGTGGCGCAGATTCTTCAGAAATATCCCTGCGCCTTCGAAACGAGGGTGCTATTGACATAGTGACGAGTGTTGCATCACCCAAACGTGCAACGTTAATGAAAAAACCATATCGTCGACAAGGTATTTCCTTCTGGCGGTATAGCGCATTCATTCGTTCGTATGCCGTCCTGTATGCATTCTCACGGAACCATGAGGTCCTTCGTCAGAAGATCGACGGAGCAGTTGTAGCAGCCATACACACTGTTACCTCAGGGCTCGTCCGATGCGAAGATACATCTGACTTACTTCGTGGTTGGTCCGTTGCTACCCTCGCTCTCCTTCTGGTTGACCCAGTTCAACGCAACCGAATCGCAACCGAATTCAATATGCTAGTCGAGCTGATCCAGATTGCCCGTGTTGAGCTCCAGCGCCGCAAGCCTATAGAGTGCCATGCAAATATTGAACCATTTATGGACGGAGAGAGCCCTCGTTTGCTCGTTTCTCCACCTGCAACCTCTGTTGGAGTGGATGGAAATCACATTTCTCTACCCTCTGGTGCTAGCCCAAGATCCAGCGCTGACGAACTGACCAGCAATACACAGCGCAAAGGAATAGCAAGTGAGGTGTCAGCTGAAGGACTTAGTGTCAATATGAAACCTACGCACGCATTTTGTGATGAAACCGTTCTAACAAGTCGCGGCCTGCCGCCACGTGATGGCAGCCTGTCGTCAGGTCAAGCCCTTCCGACCTCACTCATTCAAGAAATGCTTCCAATTACATCAGAAAAGCGAGAGACTGATATTAATTCAGCGGGTGATGGAAGAAAGAAGTTTTGCAAATTGATAGATGAGAAAGATGACCTTCTCGAAGATCCGACACTAGCCGTACGACGTGGTACTGCTGAGAAGAATATTGTCTGGTGTTTCTTTCAGCTCAGCAAAGTTGAAAAAAAGAAGACGCGAGAGGTGCTTCAGGATGCGACTGAACTTATTGCGCAACTATCTCGGCGCAGGATTGTCAAAGAGAAGATTTGGCTAGTCGCAGCAACGTCGGAAGCGCATCGTCTTCTAGCGCGGCGCCAATATGAGTCGAACCTCATAACAAAATCCGGCACCCTCTCACTACTAGTGCGCCATTCTTTTCGTGGTGGCTCAGATGAAAATGAGTCAGCCATGAATGCCTCGCTCAAGATGCTGGAAGACTTCGATCGGCTTGCCAGTGCCTTGCAGCCCACAGGGGATCACGTTTGTCACCATGCACATTCCCCAACTCAAACAGACACCAATACCGCATATGGCGTGCTCACCTCAAAGCTAGATCTCTATGACGTACCAAATGAGTCCAATGACTTTTTCCTGAGTGATTGTGGTGGGCGAGGCCCAAAGGTCCAAGAATTGGCATTGGCCGAGCGGATGGAGCAACCCCAAAACGGGAATGGTATGACTGATCTCGAGTCAAACCTGAGCGATGACGATGGTGACGCTTTCAGGGTCGAATGTGATTCCGTTAAAGATGACAAACTTTCGCAGCGGCGAACTATGGATCAGCATAACCTCCGTAAAGATCCAACAGAGTTGACCAACCACAACAAAATGGTCAGCCCGTGGTTTACTAAGATGGGAGTACCAGCGAAGCTCTTGGAGGCATCGAAGTTTGACGAACACGCACTTCTTGACAACTCGTTTGAGGAGAATTCAACGGAGGGATCTTCCGAATCTGATTCTAGTGCATCAGATAATACGACGGATTCAGAGTCTGACTACGCTGACTTCAGATTCGTCGAGCGGTCTACTGCAAAACGACAGGCGGTTTCCTCAGAGAAAATAATCATCGAAGATAACTGGCACCCACTTCACTATGAGAAGTTCCCGGACAAAATCAGTCTTCTAACTGATCGACTGCAGCAAATTTTTTTTTTGAAGCACCTGACACGCAAGGAGACACGCCTGATCACCAATGCAATGCGGCCAATGTCAATCCTCGCCGGTGAATGCCTCGTGANGGAGAGACATTACAGTGATACATTCTACATAATTACTAATG